ATTCAAAGTTTGTAATAATTAAACGCATACAAAACTGGAACCTCCACTTTTTTGACGCATTATATGCAAAAAGTATGATAACATATTTTCCTCTAAAAAAAGGCTGAAAAAAGGAAAATAATTAATACATAATTATAAAGAGTGAGTTATTAAGCGCTACTTACGAAAACCGAACTGTCATGTTGATCACCCCATATTAAAATTTCCGCTATACTTCTTAACGATTCTACCAGCAAACTCCTATTACTCTCGGATACTGTTGTATTTTTTTCTAAAATACTATATAAATATTTTAGATGTTCCACCGATAAACGGTTTTTTGGTTTATTTCAAGCGCCACCAAACCAACTCCACTGCGAAACATTTTTTCTATTAATATCATTTCAATTTTTCCGCCTTTCAACCACAAATGCAATTTTATAATTTTAATAAGAAAATGTTCTTCAAATTACAGCTGATTATTATTATGGTATTGCGCAACCAAATGAATTGTTTACATATTGAAAATTACCCTACACGCAACTAAATAGTTGCGTATATATTGAGAATAAACCGAAGCGCAACTAAATAGTTGTGTTTATAAATTGAGAATAAACCGAAACGCAAAATAAATGAATAACGCAAACATTTAGCAAAACGCTTCCTTACAACCTATTGAAGCAATTGCCCGCTAAGGTTTAACAAAGCAGTTAAAAAAATTAAAAAAAAAAAAAAATAGAAAAAACAAATATTTGTAAAAAATATATGAAATGTCGTCGTGGCTATGGCTAATTCGACTCTGCCGCAAGACATAGATTATCTCAACCACCAAAGGTCGATTGATGATGTTCTCACTGCTTATTACTCCCAAATATTTTTATAAACTCCCAAGAGAAGAATCTCCATGTATTGCTCCATGTTTCTGGCACTAGTTTCAAATCCTATGGTAATGTTGAAATCTCGATTACTCTTTCGATTTAACGGTTAATCACCTGTACAAAATCCCAAATTCGAGTCCGATCATTCATTACAGAAAACCAATCATTACAGAAAAGGACGTTTTACAAGATTTGAAGAATCTGAAGTATAGTTTTGAGCCCAGGCCTGATGGCATTTCCTCATGTATACCCACATTATGCTCTAACGATCATTGTGATGTTATTTCAAATACTTTTAGTCAATCTTTGAAACTAGTCGTTTTTCCTTATTCTAATTCGCAAAAGTGGAAACAAACATATCCTCAAGACCTACAGAGACATTACCAAGTTGAGTTTTTTACCTAAATTGTTTAAACGGGTTGTTACTCAGTAGCTAGCTTTCGCTATCAAATATTGTACATTTCCGTTTATTTCAGCGTGATTTACTAAAAGGAAGATCATCTGTTGTGCGAACCACTTAGATGTTACTTTAGATTTTGTTCAAGGGTTTTTCCAGTAGGTCTCGCACGGATGTCCTAAGCGAAAATTTTACTAACGATCTTCAAGCTTTAAACCACTAGCTTCCCCTTGTGCTTATTGAAATGGATAAGCTCTTATTTTCATAGTAAATCGTTCAGCTCTGTTCAACTCCATCAACTCTGACGAATTCACGGTGTCCCTCAAAGCAGCTAGTTAGGACTCCTTTTATTTATTCTACACATCAATGACCTCCCTTCGGTGATTAAATCCAACCATATCTTAATGTACGCTAACGATATTAAACTGTTTTCTTTCTTCTTCTTGGAACCGCACTTGTGTCAGCTTCGAACCGATATAAATAATTTGCTTAAAAAATGCTTATTAAATTTTATGGAATTAAATCTAAAAAAATGCTTGAACCTTCTTTCTCTTTAAATGGTGGTCCAACGATAATAAAATATAAAGATATTAAAGATAAATTCCTGCTCTTCCCCTCAAGAATTTAGGTTGGTAGCCGCTCATTTCTTTGCCTCATTATGAAAATAGATGGCTTCTGTTAGCCTCCCTGTCACTTGAGAAACGGATATCTATTCTTGGTGTTTCCTACTTAATTAAGTTGATTAATGGTACGATCGGTCTGCCCACATTACTTGTTGAAATAAGCTTTCCTTTCTGATTAAGTTAATAAATTATTTGTCTTCAGAAAGCGGAGTCAATGTACATGTAATTACGAGCTTTTCAATCCGTTCAGAGTCCTTTGCAAAAATAGAGATAATGTCTATTCCTTAATCCCATCATAGGATTATTTAATTCCTTTCATTCACTTTATATTTTTGAATTTTTTTTTTTTACTTCTCTTTATAGACTTTTTATTAGCATAAGGTTCACGTCTAAGAGTTCATTGAATGCAGCTGGTAATTTATTTTAATTGAACTTTATGTTTTATAAACAATACAAAGTACAGAAAAATACAAATTGCTTGCGAAATAGTGTCTGTCTGGAAGTTCTGGCTAAATCTCTATATAAAATAGAAAAGAAGTTGTTATTATTCGGCATCCGTTCGATCGCACTATCAGCCTGCCTGCGGCAAATATTAAGGTCACCTAAGAGCACAACATTTTGCCCTTGCTCCGTTAAACTGTATTTATAGTTCCAACTAAATTGTCCCCTAGTTCTTTTTCGGGGTAATTGAAAATGCGGTGTGTGATTATGTATGCTTGAATCCTATGATTGCAGTTTCGATTTTTATTACACAAATCAGCAAATTAATAAACATTTGGCCACCTTTTGGTCCAAGCAAAAATTGTTGATTCCGTTTAGTGTAGTAAATCTTTGAATATTGTGAGTTGCACTTGGCAGAGTCCCTGTTTCCATGACAGACCAAATCGGGCTTTAGCAAAAGTTGTCTTCTGTGATATCGTGTAAGTGCCGATGCTAGTAATGGATCGATCCCTTATGTAAGTTCATTTTCCCTCTAAATTAAATTTTAATTCGGTTTCAATGCTATTTCTGCGCAAAGTCTAGGCAATTCTATTTTGAATAGCTCAGAATTTTCTAATGATTAAAGAGTTACAAAGTCTCCTACTGTGTATACACCAAAGGTTTGGCTGCTACCTGTAACGTAAATTGCTGCGCTATTCATCCTTTTTTTAAGGGTAACAACTACTTTAGAATAAATGGCGTATTGGTTTTTGTGAATCGTTTGAACTGAAAATTTCTCATAAGAGGTTTCTTACGATTATCTTTAACATCTGCAATTAAAATAAAAGAACGTGATTGCTCTAAATAAAACTTGTTGGTAATTAACCTAAAAATTCCAAAATTCCTAATACTAGTCTAGTTCTGAAAAGTTACAATATCAATATTATTCTAACGTAGCGTGGTATATGGATAATAGTAGTGGTGCATAAGAAACCCTTTCCGACAGCGTTCTAGTCTTAAGAAAATACCCCACTTTTTCCCTGTGTTAGCTGAGACCGTTTTCATTTCAGCGACAAATTTTTAACCAGCTAATTTGTTACTCAAGTATATTTGAATTAACTTATTTTGATTATCAAGTATTTTTTGGATCACTCCTTGCGACATGCAAGCCATCAGACGTTGTCATCGCAGCCATTCTCATCACGCTTTCCATTCTTGTCATAAATGGAAAAATTTTGAATGAGTGATACCATTGAGATGTGGGAACTTCGTTATGTTGAGGCTTAAGTAAATGTACGTGGTTGAGAAGAGTCTGTAAAGAAAGTTTGTGCCAAGTCTGCGTTATTTGATTCAGTGGGATTACTTTGGGTAAGTTAGGTACGTATTTAGGAATGACAGCTTGTTTAATTGGACTGCACAGTCGGTAGCCGTGGTAGTTTGCTCTGTGATCATTGCCTAACTTATTAAAGGTTTTACTTCCTTTTTAAGCTCCTTCTTGATAGTACAGCCACTACGTGGAAGTTAGCTTTTTCAACTGAGTTAATAAGCATTTAATATTTGACATCTACCCTCTTTCAAATATTGGTGATGATTTTTATTCCGTTATTGCACTTGTTGCATGATTTTTTACTTGGCCTTTTTCTTCTGTTAGCAAGGCTAATTTGTTACATGTGCTAATTGCTTGAATGTTCAAGTTTCATTATTTTAAAACCATTACATTTCTTGTTGGCTTACAGAAAATTTTCCAGGTTTTTTGTTTTATATACAAACTTGGAGTGCTCTCTTCCGCTGATGCTTACGCGCGGTCTCTTAACGGACCTTTTGTGTCCCATTAGAGCACTGTCCATCGTTATTATATATATATAAATTGTTATGTAAATATGTTTTGTATGTATGTATTACAATGTATATATCCCCTTGATTGACAATACGATTGTGATGGGTTCAAATCTCAAAGCAGAGTTGTCAGTAAATCCGATAGCCTCAGATGCTAGTGCTTTAAGACTTTAGCCTTGGAATTTATTTATATGGCTAAATAAATTATTTTGATAATAATAATGTGTGTGTATAGACGATTATTTTAATTTATTTCACTTACAATATAAAGTAGTCATATTGCAATATGTATGCGTAATTATCGACTCTTTCGCAGCTCTGAGCAAACAGAGTCAGATATCCTGACACTTTTACTCAAGAAAAAGCATCGGTTAAGTGTAATATTAGAGGAGTCTCTGTTTTATTTTTTGATATGATATGAATTTACGTCTAGAATTTGAACTACAATTTTCGGAAAATATATAATAATAATTGATGAAATGCGCACTGATTCATACGCCGTAAATTAAGTTTGAAAATTCTTATTTTAAATACTTGAAGCAATTTAATCATTCGTGACATATTACAATAGATATGAACTAGCAATCAAAAACAAAATATATTCCTTGTTTTGTTTTAAAGTCTGTATTGTTTTCTTATTTTTCTTAGCATATTACATTTTAAACACGACCATTAACTTATATTAACAAAGCATTTATTGTAAACAGAAGAATCGAACTTTATGTTTGTGAAAAGCCACAGCCATTCTAGATTTACTATAAGGAAGTGTATGTGCGATGTTTCTTTCCTTTCCGACGCATAAAGCCTTGAGAGTAATAATGAGAATAATAGCTTTTGTGCATTCCCTACTTGTGGTTTTGCTTTTAGATGAATTTCGTTCAAAAGTTGCTTGCGAAAACGAGAGTATGCCACTGATGTGCAATCCCTACTCGAGAATAGCTGTATATAGTGCTTCTTTCGGATACATTGAACGCGAAAGCGTACAATGCCCGCATAACAACAGTGTGCAACATATACCAACAAGCAATATAAAACCGAGTAAGTTAAAAGCAATTAAGAAGGAAGGCAGTCATTGTACCTAATTTGCAAAATGCTTGCAAAAACAATGATTAGGTCTGTTTGCTGATTTCTTTTTTATTCCTCTATGCCTTTATATTGCAAAGCTTGCCTGGTTTCTTATGCTACCGAAACAGTTATGCAAATTTGTCACGGTCGACGACGTTGCTCAGTAACAGCGGACGCTGGGACATTTGGAAGACCTTGCAAAAATGATATTTCAATGAGTCTAAAAGTCGTTTTTACATGCAGTAAGTATAATTTATAATATATCATATCAAATATTATTATGTTATATTACTATTATATTCCATTTATAATATCACAGTTTGTCAGCCTTTATTACATTTTCTTGATAGCTAAGTGAAGAATTGCGTCATATAGGTTCAAGTCTTCCATTATGACAACGAAAGTATCTATTTAGCACTTCGAACAAGGTTAATTTGGAATATTAATTTGACTCGCACGTTATAAATCTACTATTATTTGCCACTATTGCTTATAGGCTGTCGACGCCCAAAATAGAAATAGATGAGGGCGTCCCAATGCGCTTAACAAAACTAAATTTACTTTCCTTTATGAAGTAGCCAGGCTGCTTTCTAAATGGCTTGCTGGCGTTAATATTTTTACTATCCATTTTAGGCAAAATTTTTGCGAAAAGATTGCAATGGAAAGAAGAATTGCGTCATGCAGTTACGGCATCAACTAACAGAAGCTTGCAGGAACTTTTCGAAGACAAATCTTAATAAGTAATGATATAAAAAGCGCTATTAACTTATAATAACCAATTAACTTATAAGGAGTGTTAGTTAGCAATCTTTAAAAAAGAAAGTATTGATTTAGAACAGCCTCTTATAATCTTCCTTCCATCAATTTAGCTGTTGTTAAACTCAATTTTTTGTTTGAATAAACGTCATGCTTGAGCTATTCATTTATTTACTATGTGTTAATGGAGCATGCGGCACCGTTGGCATTTAAAAATTTACTTTATTTATGTCTGTCGTGGACGGTGACGAGTACTACAAAAACCCCGCTAATTTTGTATAAGCAAACCTAGAAATAAAGTGGGTTCTAAACGTCATTTAAATTTTTTCGAAGTATTCAAATTGGGTTAAATAGTTGATAATTGAATTTGCACCACTTAGTTTTTAACGATGGATAGCAACATTGAAATTTATTTTATATCGTAAGGCCGGCGAATCAATGAAACTATTCATCAACTTTACATTGAATAAACCTAGGTTTCTCTAGAAAACCCTCTCCCCCTAGTGCGGGTGACGCTGTATGGTATCGAAAAACCTTACCCAATCTTACCCTGTCCGACGTTTCTGAATGTTTGAATATTATCTACGAAGAGTTTTAACCTGTGAGAAAAATGTACACGTAGATGTACGAGCAGCACGGGGTACCTCTTTGTGTATAGGGTGAACTGCAGAGGAGGGTTATCCAACCTCAGCTAGATTGCTAAATTTTAAGCCATTGCCCTAAAAGTAATCATTTTTTCTACTGACAATTTTACCTATGCCTAGATGTCGGAATTAGGAATGGTAAGGCAAACAAGAAGACAAGAACACGCGTTTAGTGCGAGCCAAACAGAATCCACGCTCGTTGAAACCAGACGCAGCAGAGCCGTCTAGATAAACACGCTTTTCGTAGGTCTTCCTGCACTTTATAGACTATGGTCGTAAACAATATGAGTGCACGTGATCTTAAGTTTTCCTTCTCTTCTACATGGTGGGTATAATAACGAAACTGAAAAAATGCATTGACATGTTTTGCACGTATATTCTTCCTAATCTTTGTTATGAACTAGCTCTATTGCTAGGAGAATTTTTTAAATGACCATTAAAATGGCAGGTAAAACTGAAACTTCTTTAGAGCCTAATTTCATATACGTGTTCTTATAAAAATAAACTTTTACTTAACAGCAAGATATATTTTTGGTTATTTTATGATAAAAACAGGTGAGAAGTAGAAGGTTGTCTTGCAAAAACAATGAATATCCCAAGTTTAGATCGCGTCAATATTGCTAATTTTTATTAAATTCTTATCCGCGGATTGTGGTAGCCGAATTGAAAAAAATTTGAGAGACTACGATAAGTTGTTTTTCCATTTACTTTGTTAACTGTTGAAATTTTTTTGCATTTAGTACCTCGTAAAGTGCTCAAAGATCGTTATGAAACAGCCCCCGAAATGGATGAGCCACAACAGAGTGAATTGGATTTGGACCAAGATGAACTATATGATGAAGACCAGTTTTATAAGGAAGATGAAGCTATACCACCAGCACCGAAGTTGCAAGGTGCAATACCCAATGCTGTCTATCCCTTCGATTCTAAAATGCGTTTTCGAGAAACCACTACCACCCTATTGCCATCAATACTTTCCCGCAACGAAAGCTCTCTAGAAGGTAAATTTCTTTATAAAATTAAAAAAGAATCTTTTCAGTCTAAATTGCCTTTATATGTACATTACCACAACCCTATCAAAATTAAACAAAATTTCCCGCAATGGCTTACTAAACAAAAGAAGTAATTAACATGACAAGTTTACACAGCAATAGCGAAACGTTATATGCCGCTAACACTGGATTTTTTTAATATCCATTCTCAACTTATGCTAAAACGAAAAATAGGAACGTTATAACACAATGCCTTACATTTAGTAGTTTACGTATGCACATCTTTGCTTCCACGATTGAGGGAAAATTTTAAAACACTGTAAGAAGCGCAACAAGCTAATTCAGGATGACTGAGATTGTCTTCGCGAATGGTATCATCATTTTCTTTGATAGAAATAGTTCATTAAATATATTCTCTTCATATTTGTCATTAATACGAAGTGCTCGCTGATGAGAACCTTTCCAAGCTTTGTCCTTTTCAAAGTGATTTCCAATCACAAAAAGCTAATTTTCGATGGAACCATTCAGTTTCAAAAAGAATCTTTACTGCTCATATACTAACAAGCTCCACATCAAACTTAAAGTGTATACTTCTACGATTAAATAAATGTATATTAATTTTTTAATATAAAGGCGTAAACAATTGTTTAAAATAGTAATAGATTTAGAATAAATAGTTAAAGATCGTACTGTAATTGTAAAATTCAGTAATGAAGAGCGTTAAAAGTAAGTGTACAAGACCACAATAACTTATACGTATCAAGACGCTATTTTTGTATTGGTTCACGGAGGCAATTCTCTTTCATAGAGCGCGTAAGTTGACTATTCTTAAAATATATTCCTATCATTAGGAGTTAATATTATAATGAGTATTAAGACAAAGTTTAATCTCAGGAACGCACAAATAAAAATTATGGCGAATAATATCGGCTGTTTGTCGGAAGGGTGAAAGTGATTATATGCTTAAAAGACCATATTAATGAACCATTTCGAAATAGGCAAATTTTATCCCTAAAACGAAGTTAGAATAAAATTGCTACATTTATTTCATTTTCCAAATCGTAAGGCTTTTCCCTCGAGAAATCTGTGTACCGTTTGTCCTTTTTGTTCCAACACATAATCAATCAGCCGTAGAGGTAGTTGAAGAATGTTATCATTATGATAGGAGCGGAAAAGTTTCGCAGGGCTGTTTCATTAAAATTGAAAGTTTCAATGTTTCTTATGTTTTGAATATATTTATTAAAGCAAATATACGTTATTGTTGTCTACAAACTTTTGCTATTTTACTAATAAAACTATTATGCCTCCGTTGTAGAAACTTTCCAAAAGCCGGCCTCCTTTTTCTACCTCTCCTTTCAAAAAGATTTATCCCCGCAGTAAATTTATAAGACGAAATAAGATTTCTAAAGACTTTTTAAGATTTTGAGGTTTTTTATCCGAGCACGAGGCTTGTTGAAAGGAAGCAAGTGGTCTGGCCTGGTATGCTTTTATGTTCATATTTGAAATTTCGATTGGGCATCTTCACCATAACCGCGACGAATTTTTTTACAAGTCTGTGAAGACTTACTGATTTAGTCATAGTGGAATTATATGATTTTTTAACTCACTTTCAAAGGGTAGAACTTTTTTGAGTCATTTATGAACTGTCATGTACTTATTGCGTGATATAGTTAATATTGGTACAGTGATGAAAACTATCTCTTAGGAGAGGAGATGTGATGTTTTTCGCTAATACGTTATTTATGCCTTGTACACTTAAATTTTGTCCGTAACATTTTTATTTACATGTGAGAAAGCTTTGTGTTTGTTCGTGATTTTAATTATTTGGTACTTATGCTCGGCTTAAATTTTAAGGTAGGTTAAACGTTGTCAAAAAAAGCGTTCTTGAAAATATGCACTAAGCAAATGCATCATGTGCATCATGTGCATCTTAAATACAAGCACCTGATATACACAGTTTATTGAAATTTTAAAAAATGTTTTTAATTGAACCGAAAGCAAGAGCTATTTGTAGTCGCTTTCCTCATAATTTTCTGTAATTTGTGTGTGATGTTTCAAATGATGAAGTCGCTAAAATTATTTTTTGTTTTGTTGAACTTTTGGGTTCTGCTATGGCCGACAGCTATTGAAGAGTGACGTTTTCGTTTCCAATTCCTAACGCATGATCTTTAGAAAGTACGTTAATTCGATTAAAAGGTTGGCTTGCGAATGGCATTTATCTATCACGCATGCTGGCGTTAAAAAGCGTGTTCAGTTTAAACTACGATGTTCGCCTTGTTTCAAGTGGCTTTCCAACGGCTTACGTGTTATCAACTTAAACTACAAATTCTATTAAAACGAGCTTTACATGTCACACGTCACTCGAGACTTTACATAATAAAAGAATGAAGTCATCTGTCATCTGTGCCTACCCTACCTTTGGTCTATTGATTCTATAATTTTTCGGATCTTATTGGACATATAGAGCATCATTTTAACATTTGTGACTAGGGCAGGTAAAGAATTGTATTAAGCGGAATGTTATAAAATATTTAGGGCTATTTTAAATAAAGTAAGTTCAATTTAAAGTAAATTTGTCTAAGTTTCAGCTAGGAGAAAATCTTTTTAATTATATTCATTTACAATCCAACTTTAAAATAAACATAATTCTATAATTAACAAAATGAAATAAGGAAATCGTTCACAAAACGTAAATTAGACAACCGTAATAAATAAAAAAAAAAAAAAAATTACTGTAATCTGAATAACAAACAAAATAACAGTTTGTATTTGTAAAATTGAAGTGATTTTTTGGTTAAGAGTGTCAGTTAAGAAATCTGCTTTGCAGCAAATTTTCAGAAAAAAGTAATATACTGAAAACTTACTCGTTTGCACAGTTCTAACTTTGCCAAATTTCCTTTTAAAGGTTGTCTTTAGAAATAATTTAATATTTTACCCAAAAGGCACCTATTATAAGGATTTCAGTGAAGTTGATTCGAATATAAATCCTAATAAGCCAAATCTGACCTTTTCAAAAAATCTGTCTTTCTCTTTCCTTTGAAAAAATTCAAGGTAATTCCGATTTTCTTCAACAAAAGCAAATTTAATATTTTGCACTATAAGTTAAATTCCAGTCACGAACAAGCCGACGTGGTCGCCTTAGTACCATGAATAATGCGTTAAGGCTTTTTGAACTACTTGGACCCATTATAATTGTGTTGCTTTCCATTTTTCTTGCTAATTAAGATTGTCTTGATGCAAAGGGCTTCGTCAATACGAAGGCTATTTTCCATTCAATTTAGTACTGAGGACACATCCATAAAAAGTTTCGATGAAATTGTTTCGTTGAAATTGTTAAAAGTATTCAAGGCTTCCCGACGATATAAAAGCTGTGATGTCTATTTGAACATGGATTCCCCACTTTATAAGAAGTTCGTCTACATGGTATTATATTTTGCTGTGCATACTCCATGTTTTCTGACGGCGATGGTAAGGATGTTTAATCCTGATACTTTTTTTGCAGCCATTATTACCAATCTGCAAGAAGGGCTTATTCAAAAAGAAGCTTTTTTTAAAAAACTAAATATACTTGCTATATCTGGTAAGCCTTATTTGTCAATGTACCATTCTATGTATAACTTTTTATGATATAGTTGACGTCTGTAAATTCCTCTACATCTGTTCAACTATTGCGTAAGGACTTTATTATTTCTAGTGTCGCTCTTCAGTGTCACTTAAAGAGGCTGTGGAGACTGTCGTACGTGCCATAAGTGAGCTAGCTAGTTCGGGAGATGTGGGAGGATTAAAACTTCATCTCGGAGACACTCCACAGGCGATTACGCCTGAAAGAAATACACGTACGAATAGACAGACAGACGAACCCTAGGTTACCGCACAGGTATAATATAAGCCCCGCATCATTCTTCACCCTGTCCTACCTATGGTCTCCTTCGGCCCATGATGTCAATGGGAGACCCCCAATTTTCCTTCCATGAAAAAAGAAAATAAATTCTTTTCATTACATTTTTCTTTCACCTTTATTTTCTCAGATACATTATGTTCATTTCTATTTTCGTAGTATTACTAAGTTTCCCATGTACACTTACAATATTAAATGGTTCTGCTCTTCAATACATTGATTTACAGAATAAATTTTTAAGTGTTTATTCTAGTTTAACAAATTTTTTTAAAGGTATAAATTATAATTACCGCACAAATTCTTTAGCTGCGTATATTCCCCTTTCCATAATTTCAATTTTATCGCTTTTTACAAATATTCCAAATTTTCATACAGTTTTTCTTCCAAATTTTAATCATGGAGTTAACAACTTTTTTTTTTACCTTATAGATATATGGCAAATAGTATAGTATATTTATTCCATTAACATTCGTTTAATAATTACTACTACTCAGTTAAGGTGACTTTTATACATTCCTTATTTTAATTTTCAAATATATACTATACCTGACCCCAGATCTTATCATTTTCACTCACTTCACATTTTGACCATTTTTCTTCATTTCCAAATACGACGATTACTAATTTTGAGCAGTTTACTATTCTTACTAGTTTTCGTTCTAATGGCTTTTTTGCCCGCCAGGTTTGTAATTAAATTTCACAGATTTCCAATAGCAGACAAGAAAATATGTACATAATTTTTGTTTTTTTTTATATGTGTTATTTATAATTTCCTATTAAAGTATAATATATATAATGAAATAAATTCTTAGACTAAAAAAAAGACATTGAGCACTAGCAGACTATCGACTCTAATATAAATAAATGTATATTAGATAATGAGCTTAGTAGTATTAATAAAGTAATATGGTAAATTTATATTGAGGTGGAGTTAATTGAAGGTTGATGGAAGAGTAGTGTTGATGATGGTATTGTAAATTTCCTTCTGCAATTTTCTCTTTAACTTTTCTTCCAATGTATCTTTGAAGATCCAACTTTTCCATGACATTATCCATAATTAGAGGAGCAGAAGCAGCATACTTTGCCGCTCGATCAGCCTGCTCATTTCTCA